CCCGATGAATCTCATGGGATGGTCAGACATCATCTCAGGTCAAAGCCTGGCTATGCTGGCTCGTACTTGCTTCAGAGGATGCCCACTTCTACTAAGACATAAGTGCCCTACTATGGTGCACTTCTTTTCATGACATTATTCGCATGGGCTATACAGTCTTGAGCATTCACAGCTTCCTATCGAATAGAATAATATGAATGTTCAGAATGACTCCATACAGTGTGTGCTTTGCAAAAATCTTACTGATACTCTATATTTGGACGGCGAACTAACTGCCTGACACAACGCTGTTCCTCGCCGGTCGCTGAAAGTGTTTGACTGTGATAATGACACTGTGCTACATGGCACCCGCATTGGCGGTCTACGACCCACTTATAACGACCTAACAATACCTACAGCACTCATCCAAAACCGGCTGTTATGGCAACGCTAGCGCAGCTTGTTATGACTCATCAAGTAGATTCATGTACCTACAGATCCGGACCCCGGCTCCACAAACAGACAGAGTGCATGAATAGGAATCTGTATTTGCTCACAACTATACAGTACCAACCCCGGAACTAATTAATTGCGGAAGGCGTCAATGGTGGCTTGTGCCTCCACGGCAAGCGTTCTCCATGGCCCGGTGCCCACGCAACAGGGGTGTTGGCGAGCCAAGTCCGTCAACGACGCTATCGACGGCCGTTTCTTGCCGTCGTCGATCACCTGTTTGCTTAGCACAATCTTCACTAATCCGTGCAGCCCCATGGTGTGGATCCATACCAATGGGCCCGCACCTCCTCGAGCGAACACAGACGACGCTGATCAACACCGTTCGTCCACATACATCGAGCAGCCACTTGTGGATGAGGAACGCGCACCCCTGTTCCACACCTTTACCGTGGCTGCCACACGGCAAGGACTACTCACGCAGGTACCCTTAACAATAGCGGGGCCATCACACCCTCTCGATTCTAGCCGTCTCTCATAATCCAGGGTGGCTGCAGCTGCACAGGGGACAGTCCCACGGCTGTCCTGGCCGAAGTCGCAGTGAGCTTGGCAAAGTCGGCCGCCAAGCCATGGGCTGGCTGAGCCATCACACTCTCGGACCGTGGCTGCCACACGGCAAGGTCGCCGGTCATGTGTAGCCTGGCCCGAGGGAGAGACCTCATGCAACTGGCAACTGCAAGAGCAGGGGCAGCGATGGCGGATCCAAGCCTCATCTTGATATCCTGCGAGATCCCCTGTTAAATTCGCAGCGAGAATGATGGGGTGTTGTACCTGCTGGGGACCGGGCATCGACCCAGAAATGACTACCCTATTCTTAATCATTGCCGACGTGTATGCGTCCTACTCACCCCAACCGAAGGCTACACCACAGTCTATGGTATTGACAGCAGCTGTTCAGAACCTGCGTAGTCACCCACAGCATCTACGTCGCACCACGATATGTAGCTGAGTATCTCTGCACGCGGCAAAAACCATAGCCAGCGCCAACAGCGGCTAACAAAGTCACCGAAGGAAACAGGCGGCACACAACGACCAGGATGAGCCAAGGTGCCCATGAGACAACCCGTCCAATGCAGAGACTCTTTCTCTGTACTATAACCTCTCTTGTGATCGTTAATGCGCCACCTTGTTGATGTGGAAGGAAGATGCTCACATTAGCGCGCTTTTGGGGAGGCAGCCGTGACCTAAGTTCTCGGCGCAAACCGACCAAGCTGAGGAGGCAATCGATAGGAAAGACATCATCCCTCGCCATTTTGCGGTTACTGCTCCGTCAGTCATGCGTGTGGCTGAGTTGGTAGGCTGGTCAAAGAATTGACCAGCGTGGGGTACGGGGTTCCCTGGTTTGGATGGCAACTGAGACGTGCCGAACGCCGCTTGTATGAGCGCGTTCGCACATGAGCATGCCCACGACATATTCACTCTCGAGTCTTCCTGTGAAGCTTCAGGTTTGGGATTCATGTTACTGGTGTGTATGAAGTCAAAAGGCCAAGTGCGTTTGAGCCTTCTTTCTTATTAAGCAAATTCGCCGTCCTCCTTGCTCGGCCGTTACTTTGGTGACATCGGACCTGCAACAGCCCTTCCCCTGGTCTGCCTTTCCAAAACATGACTTTGGCCTTGAAGTGACCTTTTGATAATCACAGGGATCTCTAGTCCTCCTCGCTGCTGCTTTGAATGCAACCGTGGTGTTGAAGATTGTTCATGAGTATATACGCATATTGTTTCGACCAAAACGAGTGACCGAAATTCCTAGACAGGCCCCAATAAGCAAGATCTGAGTATCGAAAGAGGAAAAGAACCATCACTCGCTGCGATACGCCAGGTCCACCCAGACCCTCCAGTGCAGAATGCCGACGTGTGCCAGCCTCATGGCCAGATCACTGACGCCACTGTCCATACCGTCTCGCAGGCATTCATAAAAGTCGCGGGGCATATTGCCGCTGGTGGGTATTCTTTTCTCTACGGCGGCTGTGTATAGGCTCCAGCTGCTCATCCCATTGTACTCCCGAACGCGGTTGCAGAGTTCCTTTAAAAGACGCCGGTGATAGTCGGCTTCCACGTCTACGAAGAGTTCGTCGTGGGGGTTAGAAAGGACTTCGCCAAGTGCGGACTCGACCATGGCGAGCATATAGGATGGGGCTTTAGCATGGCGGAAGATCTCAACGGCCATGTGAGGGACAGCCTCCGCCCAGCGCTTGGCTTGATCGATAGTCGCGGACGTCGACTGGAGGATGGCGACCAAGGATACGTATAAGTTGTTTGTCTCCGTCTCGCCTTGGCGCTCGCCGAGAATGCGTAGGACGTGTTCGTAGACACGCATGCAGATGACAATGTTCACAGCGTCGTTGCGAATGCGTAGCAGCCTGTCCTTGTCGTAGTGGAAGGTTTCGGGCGGAATCGCATCTTCTTCCTGCGCGCGAAAAGGTCGCACGAGGCGCGCAACGGCACGGAAAAAGATGGACATGTCGCCAAAGCCTTTAGTGCACTCATGGGCGTACTTGAGCTGTGCGCGATGATACCATAACTTTGACCGTCCAATGTCCAGCCTGCATGTTGCAATCTCCTCGCTGACTCTGCGCTGCTCGTAATGAACCGTCTCCGTGATGAGAGCAGGCCGCATCCAGCGAAGATAGTGGTTGGCCAAGTCCAGTTTCATATGCTCGAGCACACTCAAAAGCTCGCACATACCCATTACCAGTTGTTCCACGTTGCCTTCGCGACTTCCAATGCGGAAACGTGCCAACATGTTGTTAACCTCCCCGTCACGCATGGGGGCACAATGCGTCTTAAGCACACCTGCTAACCACTCGGCCATTCCTTCCAGATTCAGCATGCCTTTGTAGAATTGCTGCATCAGCAAATTTACATTCAGCGCCTCCTCCATAAGACTGCGGTCTTGCACCGGCACGAGCGTCTCCACAATGTCCTTGATGGTTCGCAAGAGCAGGGGCAGACACCACTCATCGCTGTGCGCATAGCGCTCCATAAACTCGGACCGTCTGTTCTTGTCGACAAACATGCCCAGCTGTTCTGTCAGAGCCCTCCAAAACGCCCGTGAGTGCTCCTGCCTCGTCTTACCCCTATCGCCCAGGATGTTGGGTCGAAAATGCAAATCGGGGTCGAAGTTGATGTCATGGCGCAGTTTCGAGTTTCGTACAATGCGCGCCTCGTCGAGGTCCGATAGAGTGGCCTTGGTGATGGGCGGTCCAATTGTGAAATTTATTTCCGCAATCGATCTGCCAGTACTTCTTTTGGGGTTGTTCGACTCCTTGATTTCCGCAGGTCGTGTTCCGGAATTTGACGACTCTGTGGATATTCGTTCCGCTTGTAGGGTATGAGACGAGCCAGCTCCTATGGATTTGGTCTCGCTCGGGGATGAATTAAGTCTGCTTGACTGGAAGACTGGTGTGGAAACGGCCGCTGTGCTGGCTGACGAGCTCATGGACGGATTCGCCACGTCGTCCGAGTTTGCTCGAGGGAAGTTCACACCCGATGTGTCTGTCTCAACGCCCTTTAGGGGCACTGTTTCTTCGTATAAGGAGCCAATCCGTTGGGGCTCTGTGTTTTGACTTGCCGCGTCTGTGTCTGTGGTACTAGCAGATGGAGTGTGTCGCTTTGAATGCCGGTCGCCTGGACATCCTCCTTGATCAAGCCCCATAATGCCTTTGCTTACTGTGCGACACGTACTCGTCGGTGTAGTTGCCAGAAAGTGGCGTGGAGGCCAGGCAAACGTCTGCGATCCAAAAGCGGCTTGCGTAAAGGGTGATATGTAGGGCGAAGCAGTTCGTAGAGGAATAGTGCCCAGTGACAAATGACAGGACGATGAGAGACGGAACAAGAGGTTGGTATGTACTGCGCTGAGGCGAGAAAAAATCGTTCCAGAAAAGATAGCAGACAGTATGGGGGGAATTGATGAGGGAAGGGGAGGGAAAGGGGCCAAGAGGGATCCATTCAGCAATACCATGCAAAGCGCGATTATGCCCGTAGCGACTACTTCCGCTACAGCCGTGAACAACACCACCAGCGCTGAAACAGAGGCACTAACGTCGCGCACGCAGCATCTACAGTAGGAACTCCACGTCTACTTTCCAGAGGTAGCTATGACCGGAAGGTGTCATGCTCAGGTTGTTTCGTCCGAGCCGTGATAGGTGCAATGGTAGGCTGTGCTACCTGCTGTTAGAGTCCATGCCATGTTTGAAGTTCAGACGGTGTGCTCTAGGGAGAAGCTGGTCGGCGTTCCACTGCCGATGCCGCCAATTTTGCGGCCTCTCAGCTCGGTGACTGAGGTTGTAGAGGCAATGTTGTCCGCATGACGAAGAAGGCGTGGGTGCAACAATCCCAGATCCTTTCTGCCGTGTTTACTGAGAGTCTTCGCTGAGGAAGTCTGAGGATAACTTGCCTGGTGCTAGGCGGCAAGTGCACGATCTTAAAGTGGACGGGCGCTTGGCTGCCGACCGGGAACATCGCCAGCGCAGGCACGCCGAGGCATACGAAAAGGTGCAGCCAATGCGCTCTTATTGGTTGTATTACTCAGATTGCCTTTTAACTTTGCCCGTCCAGCCGGTCAGTCCCGCTAACCTTTTCGTATGTGGCGCCAGCAGCTGTCAAGCAACAACTATGTGTTTGACTGGCGTTTGCATACCCCATGCCGTGGCTTGTGTAAGTTTGGCCTAAATATAAGCCCGCTTCGAATGGCCGCATCTAGGTGATTCAATGAGTGGTGTACAAAGGCGCTAACATCGAAGGCCGAATCTAGATGCCACAGCGAGAGGGCTGACGGCGTGCATACAATGACCCGGGGCTTGGAGGCGCACACCATGGGGTCTTCAGCACTAGGCCACAATAATGGAGGAAAGCCTTACAGCACTCTAGTGAATGTGGGCACGAAGTCGGCGCACAGGCGCCCACTTCGTGTGTCGATAGCCGGACCATTGATGGAATAGACCCGTCGTATATCTTCACGTGCCTTTAGAAGGGTGTTGGAAATTTCTGGACAGGAGCGATGGGTGAACAACTCTACTTCACAGACAGCCTCAGAGTGGAATGAGACCACGGCCGGTAATAGGCGTGGTGCATCGCCGTAAGTGCCTGACTCACTCATTGCAAAGATCCGCAAAGCACATACAAGCACAAACCCTCGAGCGAAGTGTGCGTCACCAAGGCAGAATGCTTAATCTCTGCCAACAACAAGAGCTGGGTCCACTTGCTGAGAGATAAGTGTTTCAACAAATTAAGTCACGCGCAGCTCGAACCTTGAAAGTATCTATTTGGTGATCTAGCTAGTGCTATGCATATCCACTTGTTCAATTCTGACGCAAGACACTTATCCCGAACTATCCACGCTTACAATATCCCGCCTCAGCCAAAATGGTCTTATGTCGGGCGCGACACTACGGTGTTCGAGTCGATCCGAAAGGCGGACAGCGGAATGCGTAGGACCGCACGTACCGACTGAACAAGGTGCACTGATGTTGTGGCCGTGCGACAGTGGGTTGAGTTGCCATTGTAGAGAATAGTGGGCATATCGATGACGCACAGGGCGCTAAACTACACAAATGTCCGAAGCGCTTCGGGAAAATTATCAAGGAGCTGAGACGCAGCAGTGGGCCCAAGAGCCGCTTGTTCGTTGCTGAGCCCGTCTGCATATATCTCTTGCGCCAGAAACCTCGCTGTCGTTGAGAGAACTATCAATAGAAAAATCAACCGCATCTGAGACTGTAACGTCATTTCTTCAACCACGAAATGAACAGTGCTGAGGATGTCAACGATATCACCAATGGCGTCGTCGGGTTTTGAAGGTCGATAGCCTCGCTTTCCAAACCAAATATGTACGCGAAGCAAAACCCCAGCGCTGGGAAAACGCACAGAAGTACGTAAATAAAGACCATACACGCAGAGACCTCCTCTACTGCATGTAGTCCCCAGAGTGGCATTCTACCGTCGCTCAGCTCGTTGAAATATGACAGCCTTTGAGGAATCCTTGGCACCGTATCTGGAGGGAGTGTTGGTCGGCGGCTGACAATATCGGCGGGAAAAAGTTGGTCCGACCAGACAATACGTAGCCTATAGAATGGAGCTTGCATGAGCATTGTCAGAGGAAAACCCAGGTACCTAGTTTTAGTGATAAAAGGCCTCCGGGAGTGGTCGTAGATGTGCTTGAACTCCTCCGGGCTAATAGGTGGCTCGCATTCCGCTGGCCGTGGGACGTAATAGTAGTTCTTGTTGTGCTGAGTGTCCTGTTCGGGTAGGCCGCGTCCACGGAGAGAAAACTTTTGGGGCAAGAACTTTTCGAATTTGGCGAAATCGCAGTGTGAGAAGCGGCGGATTGAAAACCAATATCTAAGAAATCCCCTTTGCTCATAGTATCCGTTTCGGAGCTCCTGGGCAAATTCCTGAGTGTTAGGTCTTTGAGAATTTACCTGAAATTGATGGAGGCTCAAGTTACTGCCGTTCACCATCAAAGCGATATACCTTGGCCCTGACGGATCTTCTCGTCGTTGTTCTCGAACGCCTAGCTCGGTTTCTGGGGCTGTCGGTGTCGCCTGGTCGGGTAGTCTCATGCACGGCTGTTCGGTAGCTGCACTAGGCCGTGATGCATTTCCGGTACTTAGCTCACTAGAATTTACTTCCGCGGATCTAGTGGCAAGGTCAGAAAGGGGCATAGGCGTTCCAGAAGCATCTTCAAAGTCGGCGACGCGAGGCTCATGCTCGGTGAGTGAATAACTGAGAGTATTTGCGCCGCTGGCCTCAGCTTCTTGCAAAGTTGACGCCAGCTTTGACTCCAAAAATTGAGGAGTGCCGATACGTCCAAAAGTAGGTTGTCTCTTAATTAGCTTGGCAAGCTCCCTCCCAAAGGTTTCTGGAACGTTCAACCAGCGTTCTTTGTGACAACTCTTAGAACGATGTCAGTGTTACCAATTACATGCTAAGTGAGGGTCAACTTACACAAATCCACCGCAACCGGACCTCGCCAGATTTCAGGGGTTTTCGTGGTGGAGAGAGTGGCCACCAGTTCCAAGCTTCTTGAGTGAAATCCTCTAAGCTGAGTTTCCACCTATCTGACCAAGAAACAGACAGGTGGGATTCTACGTCGATTCTTTGTGGCCTGGTATGATTGAGTTCAGATATCAGACAAGCTAGGCGTTCGTCAAGCCGTGTGGACCTGCTGTAGTCTGCTTTCTCACCCCTGTTGTTGGCTTCATTCATAAGGGTTCTCGCTGTCGGAATGAATGGAGTGAACCAGGCTTTTTTGGGGGGACCCGGCGTTGTTGCGGTCGCATCATCGAGATCAGGTGCGCCCTGAATGGGGAATGGCGCTACGTTTGTTTCTTCTGATGCCGTGGGGATTGGCACTACCAAGTCCATTGACTGATGTTGTAAATCGGCTTGTGATGGGGTTTGATCCGGTGAGGCGTGAAGCATAGGTTCACTTTGAGATTCGTGATGGTCGCTGTGTACTTCAGGACGAGAATGCAGGAATTGCCGGATATTCTCCCTGTATAGGTCAAAAGGTCGTCCCTGTGTCAAGAACACGCCGATCGCATCCAAACTAGGAGACTCGCTCCTGTCGGCACTCGTGTCAAGATTGCTGTCCTCGCTGCCCTCGCTGATTTGACTGGAGACATCGGTGTCATCCACAACTACCCTGTGGGTATCTGAGGGTATGGTATCTGGCATAGAGAGTTGATTCTCATGGCTCATGCCACCAAGAAGTCGGTCAAGAAGTAATGTATCATCCTTCTGCTGCTCAAGGATGACCCTTACTTTCTCCCGCTCGTTTCTACCAGCGGGTTTAAGGGTTTTGTGAATGCCTTGTGAGATGCGAGTTCTGGCGGCTCGTGATCGTAAAATCCCGATAGCAATTTGCAGCTGGCGAGTTCGTCCTTCAAGGCGGAGGTCTAGGTAAAACCTTTTCAGCAATCGCCGGTGATTCCTGATGAACTTGGCCTCTTCGATTCTCTGTGTTGCTTCATGGTATAAGCCGAAAAGTTGTGTGTCGCTAGTGAACCTCCTGACGACGTATGAAACTGCGGCTGTCTCCGTATCCGATGGGGGACCATTCAAGGACTGGATATCATCCGCTATCGAGTCGACTGACTCGACATCATCAAGCGATCCGTCTAGTCGATGGCCACATGACAATTTGTAGTTGAAGAAAGACATTGGAGTGAACTCCTTGTTTGTTCGCTTCCCCCTCGAGACAATGGACGGATCCGTAGGGACGCTGGAGCCATTACCAGTTGTCCATACTGAGTCAGGGACTTCCGATGACGTGCTGTTGGAATATTCGGTCCAAGGACGCTGACGCCTACCCATCGCCAGCACCAACCTCTCCAGCATTGAACGCATACTGATTGTGATGGCATGATGGAAGCCGAGATGCCGCTCTTGGAGCTGAAGAATGTTCTCCAGATAGCCACGGGCCTCCTTGTAGCGACCGTCAGATTCTAGGACAAGCACCAAGCTGACAGTGCTGTTCAAAGTGGCAGGATGTGCCTCACCCAAAACTACTTTCCTCATCTGTATGACCCGCAAAAAAAGCTCCTCAGCATCTTTCCATCGACTTTGTTTTTGAAAAATTGTTGCAAGGTTGCCAAGAGCGCCAATGGTCCAGGGATGTTGTTCTCCGAGTACCCTCCTCATTGAGTCCAAGACTCTAGCCTGTAATGGTTCTGCATCATCCCACCGACCTTGACCAGTATGTATGGTTGCTAGGTTGGCAATTCCTGTCAGCGTGTCGGGGTGATCTGGCCCGAGTTTCTTCTTGCGAGTCTCCGTTACTTGTAATAATAAGTTTTCGGCGTCCTCCCATCGGCCCTGGTCCTTGAACGTTGCTGCCAGGTTACTCATGCTGCTCAGAGTGTATGGATGGTCAAGACCGAGTCTTTTCTTGAAAGCATCCATCACTTGTACCTCAAGTGTCTCGGCCTCATTCAACCGGCCCTGGTTGCTGTATGTAGACGCCAAGTTACTCATGCTCTTTAGCGTGTCGGGATGGTCCGCCCCAAGCTTCGTCTTGAAATTCTCCGTCACCTGCACCTCAAGTATCTCTGCCTCCTTCCACCGGCCCTGGTTCCTGTATGTCGACGCCAAGTTACCCATGCTCTTTAGCGTGTCGGGATGGTCCGCCCCAAGCTTCGTCTTGCTCGTCTCCATCACCTGCACCTCAAGCGTCTCTGCCTCCTCCCACCGGCCCTGGTTGCTGTATGTCAACGCCAGGTTGGCCATACTCGCCAGCGTGTCGGGATGGTCCGCCCCAAGCTTCGTCTTGCTCGTCTCCATCACCTGCACCTCAAGCGTCTCTGCCTCCTCCCACCGGCCCTGGTCCCTGTATGTTGACGCCAGATGGGCCATAACTGATAGCGTATCGGGATGGTCCGCCCCAAGCTTCGTCTTGCTCGTCTCCATCACCTGCACCTCAAGCGTCTCTGCCTCTTCCCACCGGCCCTGGTCCCTGTATGTTGACGCCAGGTTGGCCATGCTTGTTAGCGTTGAGGGATGGTCCGCCCCAAGCTTCGTCTTGCGAGTCTCCATCACCTGCACCCCAAGCGTCTCTGCCTCCTCCCACCGTCCCTGGTTCCTGTATGTCGCCGCCAGGTTGGCCATGCTTGTTAGCGTTAAGGGATGGTCCGCCCCAAGCTTCGTCTTGCTCGTCTCCATCACCTGCACAAAAAGCGTCTCTGCCTCCTCCCACCGTCCCTGGTTACTGTATGTCGACGCCAGGTTGGCCATGCTTGTCAGCGTGGAGGTATGGCCAAGTGCCAGGGTATTCTTTCTCGTTTCCACTGCCTCCTCTCCGAGTAACTCTGCCCGGGAATATTCGCCAATCATAAACATGTACCGTGACACATTCGTCAATAACTCGGCCCGACAATCAAGAACGTTCAGCTGTTTGGGTGTCTTTGCTAGCACAGGCTCCACGTGAGGAAGAAGTCTCTGGCAAAATTCCCACGTCTCGAACGTGCCCGATGGAAAATGATCTGCTGCCAGCTGCAAAAACAACCGGCTCCATCGCGCAGGGTCTCCATACCCTGCAATCCACGAGCGGGTACAAAATTGAACTAGCGAGTGCATGTCGCATAAACCTGAAGTTTTGACCGTAACAAGGGAGTAGCCTCGGAGAACGTCTAGGTCGTTCTCGAATTCCGACCCATCGCTGCCCCCATCGCTGCCCTCATTGTTGAGGCTGACGCCCGCATCATCTTGATCGCTCTGGCTATCAGTGACTGTGTCGTCATACCCGTGCAACATGCTCTCGGGTATGTTTTGTGATTGAAACTGGCTCATCAGGGCGAGGAGGTTAGCAGCGCGCCTGTGATCCTCCCGGATCCTGTCAAATGTCAACTGCCACGTGACCAGTACGGAGTTAGACACCCCTTCATATCGCCCAAGATCGCCCTTATCGCTGCGTAGCAGTCCTCTCTTCCGCTTCTGGCTCCCGTTGAACTCTTCCAGATACGATCGGAGTGTCACTCGGGGCCTCCGGCGGTGGATATACGCCGCAGCCTGGCTGATAGCTAACGGTATATGATCCAGTGCCCGGATCAGGTCTCTTGCGTCGCTCTCCTCTTCGCTCCCCAGTCTTCTGTACAAGAGCTGGAGCGCCTGGTCGTGCTCCATGACTGGTACCTGCTGAATCCACTCGCCATGTCCAACGAGCTTCTCGGCTACGTTTCTACTTCGTGTCGTAACCAGCACCTTGCCGTGATCGCACTTTGGCAGGTATAATGCTAGCCCGTCGTCATGTAGCACGTTGCCGGAGTGAATATCAACGTTGTCGGCGTTGTCGATGACCATTAGAAAAGGGTTGCCGTCGACCTTTTGTAACCAGTCGCGCACCAGCGCAAGGACGTTCACCTCGGCATCCGTCCGCCGCGGCAGTAGAAGCGTCTCAGCGATCGTACGGTAGGATGCTTCAAACGTGTCCCGGGTAGCCCC